ATAAAAATCAGTCTTAATCGTACCCTCAAGTGAGTACTTCGTCCCCTCAGACCAGGGACACGTGAACGGTCGTTCACTTAGAGTTTGTATACTCTAGAGGAAATAAACTTCCTCTGCAAAAGGTGCTGTGTGACCCCGTCACACAATGAATGGTCACTAGCAGCACTAAACATTCTTGCCCTGTCACCTGAATGCCGATTTACATCTGTAACAGTCTTTGATGGACGCCCGACAAGATCCATGTACGCAGTATAATTATTCTGTTCTGTTTCAACGAAGTCGATGTTTGTTTGAGGCCGTACTTCGGATCGGTATGGTGATTCATAATGATTAACACCTGCTGTGTTATTCGCAAATGACTCGCGCACAGCACTTTCACAAGTCAAATTGCGGGTGGACGCAGGTACCAGTGGCTCGATGCTCGTGCGGTTTTGAGTCAGTGATGGCCAAAAGTATATTGCAATTTTTGGAGTTGCCGCAATACTAGTCGCTAATGCCGTACTGCAAGGGTTTGGGAATTGCAATACATATTGCAGGGCGGTTAGAGACTGCAATCTGTACTGGAGCCCAACACCTAACCGGTGTCTCGTCCGCGCTGCAGAATGGGTGGTGTTCAGTTGTCGATACACACTTGACCAACTCAAATACATACTTTTTGAACCATTCTGCTATTTGCACCACTTCCTCCAGCCCGTCTTCGTCTCCGCCATGGCTCTTAACAAGGCCGCCTTCTCGACTAGCTCAATTCCGGAGGGGGTGATCTTCTTCTTCGACGTGGAGGTCGTCGACAAGAACGTCACGTATCAGTGCCCCAAGTGTCCGTCCAAAGCGAGACAGATGTGGAAGACTGGTTACTCTAACTTGCGGTAGCACCTCGTCAGTTGTGTAGGCTCTGACTATATGAAGAAGTTTACGACACCAAAGAAAGCTCAGTTCAACCCGCTCGGCTTTACAAGAGAAAAGTACATCTCAGACAAGGCGTTTAGCGTTTTACGGTGGCTAGAATGGGTCATTATGCGCAACATGCCGCTGTCCGAGGTGGATAACCCCCTGACACGCTCTTTAGCTGGTCATGACTCAATTTTCAGCAACTGCCTTGCCACCTACATTATTCGGCTTGTCTCCCTTGTTGAAGCTTCAATTCGGAAGACCCTCCCAGATGTTTTGGCATTATGATGGACGGCTGGACCGACGTTTCCACGCACTACATATGCGTAATAGCTACGTACATGGAGAACGACACGTACAGGGAGGTCCTGCTTGGGTGTTCAACCCCGTTAAACGAGAAGCACTACACGGCGGAGGAGTACTACGAATTGCTGGAGTTCGTCCTGTCTATCTACGGCAAATCCATACCATCACCCTCAGTCATCATCAACAATTGTGCGACTAATAAGTCGCTCGCAGAAATGGTGGGCGTTCCACTGATCGGCTGTGGCTGCCACAAGTTGAACTTGGCCGTAAAGACCTTGCTTGCTCGTCGACCGGTTATGGAGAAGACTATAGAACGGATCGACAAGCTGGTTTCTCAATTACGGAATTTGAAGGTGGCTGGAGCACTTCGCCTGCTTACACCCCATTGCCCACTCAAACGCAACGGTACTAGATGGTCCCCTACTTACAAAATGCTGGAGCGCTTTGTGAGCATCGAAAACGCAGCTAAGGAGCTCGACGACATTGACCCCATTCGTCTTGCAGACTCGGATCGGATCAAAGAAGTCCTGCCGACCCTCGAGAACTTCAAAAGTATTATGACGGATCTACAGAAACAAGGCCAGCACATTGTAGTTGTTCATGAAACCTTCCAGATGATAGTGGAGGACTTTCCTGAGTTTAGTGACTACCTGGCTGCTGATGCAGAAATTATGCACAATCCTCTTTTTGAGAAAGCCTGCGTCAAAATTATTAGTGGTAAACAAGAATCGCTTACGGATGGCGAAAAGGCGCAAGTAAGCCATTTTTTACGCCAGCCAGAGCCTCAAGAACCTGCCTTGGAAAGGTCTACAGGAAGCAAACACAGTTACACCAGTCTCTTACGTGACCGAAAGCGCCAGCGGCTCACGACAAGCGAGGACTATGTAGATCTACGTTTCATCTCCGGCACCTCTGCATCTGCGGAACGGCTATTCAGTAGCGCAAAGCACGTCTAGCGGCCGCCAAGAAAACGTTTGACGCCAGTTAACTTGCTTTTTTTTAAGCATAACAGGCGCCTTTGGAATGCTGACATGGTATCGCAGGCCATGAAAGCACGTTCTACAACGGAGTCGTAATTTACCAAGTACTGCAATACATACTGCAAGCATCTTCGGCATTGCAATCCATACTGCTAGGTGACTTGATAATTCAATACATACTGCTGGTTTAATTTTTTTCCGCAATGCTCTCCCGTACATTTTTGGACATCACTGTTTTGAGTATCGATATGGTCCCAATATTAAATGCGTATTCACTGCCGCCGATAACTGCGTGGGTACACCGGTATCAAAGCAAAGTGGTCTCACGTACCACCGGCGCTTCGACCACCCCTCAAATCAAGCATGACGTTATGCTATACAAAGCCTACAAAGCTGTCACAAAATTGCACGTCGCATTGAATATCTAGCTCAAGACGGGGGCCCAGGCACATTCGGATACTAAAAGGCGACGTAAAAGGCGCGTATCGACACCTCCGGATTGCAGCAGAACAAGTGTTTAGGATGGCAGCATCCGTAGAAAAATTGGGTATCTTGGTGGTACATCTGGGAGCTTAATTTGGATGGTCAGGGTCACCGTAGTTCTACTGTATGTATGCTCGAGCTATATCTTGGCTGATACCAACCAATTCTCCAGCCACGGTTTCCGATTCTGGTGATTTCGAACCATTTTTTTTTGTTTTGGTTTCGAATGGGCAGATGACCTTGTCGTAGGCGGGCTCGACATCGGCGACAGACTTCATCTTGCTGAAGTCACCCTCCGGCACGCCATGCTAGTGGTGCAGGGACCTCGGTCAATTAATGAAAACAAATTTCCAGAATGGAGCACGGAATTGGTGGCACTCGGTCTATTGTGGAACACAACCAATCAGACAGTATCGATCCCAGACGAGAAGATCAACAAAACTCTAGCCAGAGTCCGCCGTCTTTGACAGTCTAGCTCTGAAGCTCTTCGAGCGACTAAAATCTGATGCTGCCGAGCGATATCCCGGCATCGACGCTCGGTTAACAGCTCTTATAATACACATGCTGAAGGTGAAGTCATTGCTGCAATACGAAGGGGCACCAAAACGCCCGCACCCAGGCAGCGGAGGCGCTGCAATGAACAATCAACCTGGTGCCATCCTGCAGCACGCCCTTATTCACGACGACAATTTAATGAAAAGTACAAACTAGCCCGAAAGACGGCCTAAACGGAAATTACCAAATCTCCGAGACGAATTACCAAGAGAAAGACTAACATATAGAATTTTGCGCTGAATCTATGCATCGTTTTCTGTTGGTTTGAACCAGTTTTACCCTTATAGATATAATCCCACTGCGAGCCGTTGAAGCTTGCGAAGCAAGCATTGACACGTAAAGATAAATATAAAACTGCATCAGAGCATGGTCTACCTTACCAGCGGTAGGGCCACTACACAGCGAAATGGTTGGAAGAGGCAAATTCCGACTACAATTTTTGTCTAGAACCCAATATCTCTAAAAATAAAAATAAAAAATACGCGCTTTGGCTTGTTTTGCCGCTACATTCGGGGCTGCTCGGCCTGCGAACAATTTACTAGAGCTTACTGAAATAGACAGCAATAAAGAGTCGAGGTATGTATTGGAAAATATCATTTTATAACGACCAAATGGGCTATTAATGCTTCCTCCAATCAGATTTATTCTATTACTACCCGGGGTTGGCGTCTCGAATGAAGTTTGGGACTTCTGCTTAATGTCAAAACATTATTGGACTATCGATCTTAGAGGAGTGTGGCTAATGGACCTCCTTTTCTCTTATTGTATATTCTGTATCCATACTTTAGTACCACAACATATTGTTATCCATTAGATAACATTCTCAAAAAGCTGTCCTGTCGCCATTTGCGTAGAAAAACATTTAAATACAGATTCAATGTTTAAATATTGAATCTGTGTAAAACGGACTATGTTTTCGGATAGCAGACACATGAATATCGCATTTCAACTTTTTCTAATGTTGACATCTCGCCAGAAATGTTGGTTCGGCGTGTTATTTCTGTGATAAGTACGATCCTATGAAAACAGTTAGCTTCATTGGTGGCCAAAAAATTAAATTTTATGGGATTACGAGCTGCTACAATAGGATACTGCCTATATACAAATCAAGTTGTATGGAAGTGCAACCACCTCCGGTAGAATAGACTCCTCCTGACTTTTCAACTTGCCATCAATTAGACAAGGGGATGAAGACCGAAGTACTGTGAACGTCACATTCCAACCCCTTTAGTGCAGTAAGTGCCAAAATGCATTATTTTTTTTAACTAGAAAGCTAGAAGCAAGCATACCTGGGCTGGCAATATCCGCCCTACAAAGCATGTGAGAATTGGTCATCCTATTCGTACTGGGTATCGCGTTGAGACGCCGATACACGAGGTCGGTACGGCGCAGGGCGGATCGCAATTGCTGGCGCATTCGATAATGACGCTGGGCTCTTGCTTGCTAAGTTCGGACACGCTCGCCCATAGACTCGTAACTTAAGAGAACGATTCCGTTATGGTCACTATCGCGAGCCCGCAGTGGCATTAAGCCAACGTGGAAGTTGGTTAAGGCTGCGCAAAGTCTAGCAAAACTGTAAAAATCCAACAGACGAAAGATAATATCCAACAGACGGTTACGTCACACATGTACTACATGTAATAAACTTACCACAGATCACAACAAATAAAGTGGCAATTTCATGTTCCATTTGGTGTCTTTGCTTCGCTGTCACCGCGATGAGATCCAATGGCAGTACTGCTGTAGCGAAGTGCTGCAAAAAACAATTCAATAAACAAGTGATCAAGGATTACTAGGGCTGTTTCGTCCAGATTTTCGTCCAGATGCATTTTATATTGCGCAATAAGACCGGAGTAGTAGGCACCTTTGCCATGAATCTGAGCGTGACAGCACCCTAGAGTTTGCAGGAAGTCGACTGCCTAAAGTACTGTGCGGGTTGTGAGCTCAAAGTAACGAGGATTCAACGCCAGTTTCCTTTGAGGAGCGGTAAATAAATCTGGTCCAAACAAAGGTTTATATTTTGTTTATATAACCGCACTGGGACCAACGCACGAAACAGCTCCTCTACGTATACTATCAGCTTCTACGCGTGATACTATTCAGAATACTGTATCACGTTAAAACTCAAAATTCAAGTACAGGTGCATACTGTAAAAATAGGTGTTGGAAAAAGTTTGGAGCTATAATAGTCCTGCAAGGCAATAAGCAGAGCTGGGGGAAATCGTTTTGTGATTGTAAGATTATGGGCGATTGTTGATGCAATATTGATTAGTGGCTCAACACAATCTACAATATGGTTTTAGATATTGATCAGCATGGCTAATCGACACCATAAACTCTATGATCCGCCGTTTGAATTGTGTCAATGCCAACCCATGCGATAGGTGATCTGTCCCTTCGATGATCGTACCTACCCGCCAAGTCGACACCATAGTAGGATGGGTGCAGTCACATTTTCAACTACTGAAGGTGTCAACTAGCTTATATCCTTCATTAAATGCTTCCCCTATCCTGCATTTAAGGTTGTCGAAGCATATAATATGCTGCTTTTGTCCGGGGAGAATTGCATTTTCTTTCATCATCGAGGGAATTCGCCACTCGCTTGCTTCCTTTAGTACTTATGAGCCTCCGAAGGAGTAGCTTCACTATTCGGGGTTGTATTTTTTTTTTCAGGAATGCACTGGTCGACGGGTTACGCTTGGGTCGGCGTGCACAGAGAAAATAAGAACTAAACTACAGCCCTCGTGACGACGGCAGCGTAGATGAACAGTGCACATACAGCTTTCGACAATCTCTACCTTTGAGATTGTAGATAATGCAATAATTGATTGCCTTGCTCTAAAATGTACAACCTTTATTTCCACATCTCTGGGCAATAAGTTCCCGACAACAGGTGGCATCGATCACCATGTGATCAAAAATAACAATGACTGGCTTTCAATCCTGTCTGTGATAGACAACTGAACATACCAACAATGGAGGACCTGGACAATGCTGGCATTGGCACCCTATCCGTCTTGACCGAACTCTCGCAGGACTGTGACACACCTGCAGTTATCACACTACGAAGAGATGGGCGAAACGTCCTACCTGGTTAACAACGCTCAATTCACAGAGGGCAATGGTGCGCTGGGGTTGCGGGTAGGACCAAACATGCTTCTTTCCAGTGCTACTGCGGCTATGAATATGGAGAATAGCAATCATATAATTAACATCATCCCTCCGGACAGCGACGACTCCGTGAACATGGTGTCATCTCGACTGAGGGAATCGAAGAACGGCGCTAGATTAGGAATGCTCAGGCAGCTACGCGCAGCATCAAGTATCTGCACAAGCTCAAGCAACGCGGCATGATCTCGAAAAGGAAGAGTTTATGCTATTGCTGAAACTGCAGAGGCTGTGACTTGTCAACAACAGTTTGGGAGCTGGAACTCCCGCGAAGACCAACTTGTATTGTTGATCAGATTGCAAAAGCAAAAGTGAGTTATCTAGTTTAACTTGCGGGCGCTCTCGCTTGCCACCTTGGCAGTCCAGGGATAGCCGCCCTCAGAGCCTGCTCTAGTAGCACTCAAGTGCAAGTCTAGCAGCAGCTGTGTCCTTGAATGTCCGCACGTGTCTTCTTATGATACGGCTGAACGCTGTTCATGCCAACATCATGATTTTGATCATGATGTGCTTCACTATACACCGTCGGAGCACACTCCAAGTGTGTTGGCTGCGGGTTGTAGGAGCTATTAGAAGATGTGGCCCTGCATTCCACCATCACACTGCCCCCCCCCCCCCCCCAAGCTTCCTATAGCCGCCAGCAACACGTCGCGAATACTTGTCCTTATGATTCTAATTGTTGTCTAGTCGAACATGCCTCGTCGCATGTGTCGTCAAAGCCGGTCCATCAGCTTCAACACGTTGCAGTGTTGCAGGTTCACTTTCCGAAGATTTGCAATGGTCCAATTTCATCCAATGAATGTCGTTCCATAGGATAGTCATCCTATCACAGAAGCTGAGATGTTCAAATCCAAATTGCATTGGCAATTTTTCGTTTTGTAACCCCAAACTTTGCCAGTATGCTCCTTGGTGAGGCTCCCAGTGTTTTGATAAGTATCCGTCCCCAATCCAATCGCAGTCCGCTCTTAGGTGCAAATCCTCGTCAAGTTGATAATCAGGTTGAACAGGAAGTGTCCAAAACTCCGGCCCTAGACAGAGTTGGAGGTTGGCGCGACTAGCGATCGATAGTTGTTGATGTAGCGCGTACGAAGGTGGCATCACCAGTATGAGTAGCGTACTGTAGCACAAGTTGTGGCACATCTTCATTCATGGTCTTCAAGGGCTCTCAGGAGTCCTCGATAGGCTCGAGACCAAGCCACTTCACCTTCACCTCGTAAGCCTGCACGTCTGCTTTCAGTCGATGATCTACGATCGCCTCTACGGCCAGCAGAGTCCCTTGAGAGGCAATGTGGTCGAGAAGCTCCTCTGTCACATTGAGCGAGTCGTCTGCATACAGTTTTAGACGAGATGGATGTACGTCCATTCTTTTTCCATTGACCAAATGTTCCACAGTGAAATAGTAGTCCACACTGCCAACCACACGGTACGGACCGACCCACATTACACGTAGCTTGTTTGCATATAGCTTCTCATCGACACGGGAACGTAGGACGTAATCACCGACAGAGAAGTTTATTGGTTGATCGTAGTGTGGTCGTAGCCGGTACCGTTTGGCCTGGCGTTGTCGCTCGTCCTTGACGGGCTTGTGCATGTTGCAAATGTTCTCTCGTAGTTTGTTGAGACGCTCTACGGTACTTGGCTTTGGCTGGTCCAGCGTAGTTACACCCTACCCTCCCGGAAAAAACACCGTGTCTACTGCACTGGGGCATGGGAGTCCCGTAAATAGCTGAACTGGAGCTCGGTTAGCCAGCGACGGTACCGGGGAGTGATTTAGGCTGGACAGCACCAGCGGAAGTAGGTAAGGCCAGTCATCCAAGCTGACTTTGTACCCCAGTGTCAGTGCCCTCAGTACTTGCAGGATGTCCCGGTTCACACGCTCTACTGAGCCGTTCTTCCAAGGTGAATATGCTAGCACGAACTCTTGACGACCTTTCAGCCTTCGGACACGTTCTGATACCACCTTGCTTTTAAAGTGCGATCCAGAGTCGCTTACCCACACCCTAGGTGCTCCAAAACGACTGTACCAGTCCAAAATGGTACTCGCTGCAACTTCAGAAGTAGGGCTATCACAAGCCACCAGCTCCGTAAAGTGCGTTGCCTCATCCTTCAATACGAGCGTGTAGCGAGAGGTGCCGAAAGAATCACCCAGAGTCAAAAAATCCCAGTGTAGTGTCTCGTTCCGTTCATAGGTGTAGTGAGTTTCACTAAAAGGTCGGGGGATCACTACCCTTCCTTTCACATGTAGGCAGAGTAGGCATTACGAGCAGAATTCACGTACAATCCTTGTGAGGCCAGAAATGTAAAACAACCGGCGTATGTGGTTCACCATCACATGCATGCCGCGATGTCCGTTTCTACCACAGTGAGCGACGATAATAAGTCTTTGAGTCAAATCGTGAGCTCCACTTGGTATCCAAATCACGTCATTCATAAGCCATAGTTCATCACCACTCAGTGTTGCACCCTTCGGTGCGTCGTGCAGTGATTGCACGCTGCCAATCTCCTCGACTGTAGGCCAGAGGATGCTGTCCTGGTTCAGTGGGCGTAGCGGTGGAGGCGAAAGACTAGCCCTTGAACCGCTACCACGCTTGCGATTGGCTCGTGTGAACCTCTTGGCCGAGTGAATACGCGCGGTTGGGAGTGGTTTGCCGCCCCACCTCGAGATCAAGTCCGTCGTCACGTTGTGAATCCCCTCATAGTGCTCTATAGAGTATCGGTACTCCAATAGTTTAGTAGACCAGCGTAGGAGTTTCCCTCGCACATGCTTCTTTAACTCCTTGCCAGGAGCGAAGAGGTAGACGATGCTCCGGTGGTCGCAGTATAGTTTGAAACCTTGCGGTCGAAGCAATAGATATTCCAGTCGTTCAGACGCGTGAACGATCGGGAATGATTCCTTCTCGATAACACTCCAGCTAAGAGCTGAGCCAATAAAACTGCCTCCCATACAGACCATCAACTCATGGTCCTGTTTGTGGATCGGGATCTGCGGCTTCCACCGACTCACTTGCGATACAACTAGACTCCAGTCTGAATCAGAGGCATCCGACATCAGTACTAGCTGCTTGGTTGAGTCTGGGTATGATAACGTCGCCGAATGTGCCAACAACTCCCTTACTGCATCGAAATTTTTCAATTCCTCCACTGTCAAGTCGATTTGCACACCTGCTGCAGCTCTCTTGGTCTTTCTAGTGCAGCCCAAGGCTGCGTCGAGACGTTCCTGTAATGGCCTTGCCACACGAGCGTAGTCAACTAGACCTGCGCGCATCCAATTGGCGGTACAGAGAAATTGCTGCAGTTCGGCTGCGGTCGTTGGCGGTGGCATATCTCTTAAAGCTTGGATGCGACTCGAGTCATGACCGATTCCATCCTTGTTGATGATTTGGCCACACCAGCGGACCTCACTTTGAAACAAAGAGCACTTCTTTGGATTTAAGATAAACCCAAACTCGTCCAGTCTCCGAAGTACGGCACCAATAATTTCAACCAATTTATCAGCACTTTCTGCAAAAACGAGGAGGTCATCGATCCACACGATGACATTTGTGTTCACCAAATCGCCTAGAACCATTTCCACCGTCGGTTGGAAGTGTAGAGCACCGTCGGTGCTTCTTTGTGGAACTCGAGTTGGCGTGAACACGCCACGGTCGGTCATGTACGAGAGAAATTCACTGCAACCCTCGTGCAATGGGAGCTGCCAGAAGCCCTCGAGGAAATCAAACATCGCGCAGTACATCATTCCCCTACAGTGTTCCAACGCCACCACAAGACTCGGCATCACACCAGCGATAGGCTCGGTAAGAGCATTTGTCGGTCTATAATCCACGGTTTGTCGGTAATCATCAGTGCTGGGCTTTTTAACCGGTAAAGCTGGACAACACCAGCGACTCTCACGGTTTTCATAAACCCACCCCAACTCAACAAGCTTCTTGTTTAAAGCATCGAGAAATTCTGATTTTTCCTGGCTGTATTGACGTACTTTGCACCGGTCGGGAGCTGCACCGAGTTTTAGTCGGATTTTCAGAGGAGGAACTCGGGCTGGTGGATCATTACCAACCTCCAGTCTCCAGCCTCCAAAACGGCGTAGAACAATGTACAGTCTGGTCGTGGTGTATTCATCCACAACGCCACGGTCAATTATGTCATACACCAGAGTATCCACTACCTTCATTACCACATCTTCCTTGGTTGGTTTACAGGTCGGCATACCTTCCGGTTCATCAAAGGTCTCATCATCATCTCCACGCGTTGCAAGGTATTCTAATTGACGTTCCACATTTATGCCAAGCTCAGCTAAAAAGGTTTTGCCAACCAGAAACTCGTCCTCGTCGGACTGCACGGTCAGGCATCGCTTCTGGTCTTGGCATCGTACTGGTCCCGCAGCCGTATTTAATGTGAGGATCACATAGATAGCGCGGGTCGATGTCAAAATCGTACCCCCAACTGCACGCGATTCAATTGGCTTACACAATTCCACAGGGACGATATTCTCATCAAGCTCGCAAAGTCGATTAGCATGTTCTCGTGAGGTAGTCCGACCCACTATCAGCGCAGTAAGGCAGCTCAAGGAGTCCATTTAGCACGACGGTAGGCCGATCCTGCGCGTTCGTGGTCGAAGTACTCTCCACACGCTTCGTACGGGTTCGCTTATTCCCATTTCCAGTAAAGGTTTTCTTCTTGTTCTTCTTATCAGCGAGAAGTGCTTCCTTTCCCGCTTCGTCAAGATCGGGGCATTCACTGAGCCAATGATCTTTCCCGCAGTGAAAACATCCTGCTCGTGGCTTGCTTTTCACCGTTGAAGTTGACGACGACTTCATTGCAAGGACAGTGCGGGGTTGGTCGTCATTATTACGCCTTTTCGTGCCTGGTGATGGTTGTTCACTTTTCTGACGTGAGCCACGATCAGTACCACCCTTGGGCTTTCCTCCACTGTTTTTCCAGCTTGATTACTGCCTGCGTGTTGACAGTAATTGGTCCACCTTGGCTTGCTCAAGCGCTTTCTCTTTCACGAGGACGTACAGAGCATTCTCGTCGGATTTGCTTGTAGTGTCCACAAGTCGGAGGTGGCTATCTACTGCATCACGTAGGGCCGCAGGTGCTAAATGCGTCTTCAGTACTCGGCATTTTTCCTTAATACCTGTTGCTGTAGCAAAGGTACTCACCAATCCGTTCTCCAGAATGATCTCATCACACAGCATGAAATAGTTCAGGACACGGGCCTTGACGTCTCGTTGATCAAGGTCCATCATCAACCTTGCATCAAAAATCGAGTCAATATCAAGAATGACGTCATTCATGACATTACCAATGACCTTGTCCAACTCGGACACAATCCTGTCCTCCGTGATCTTCTCTACGGTGGCCCCCCACTCAAACTTGCAGAGAGTTTTCAAAAGTTGCCGATTGAACGAGTTCTTTACGCTCCGTAGAGCTTTCGACTTGTCTTCGCCAGTGGTAGCGCACCGAGCTTCGATTGCGTCCTCATACTCCTGCCTTTCCCTTTTCCACTTGACAAGGACAGGATGGGAGATGTCGTTCACGTACGGGGGTACAATCGACGAGGAGGACACCGGTATCGCTGTCGTAGCAGCCGTTTCAGTCGTCTCAGTCAACCTGGTACCTTGGTTAACGTGAAATTGACGGCCGCTGCGAGTTCTCATTGTTCACACTTGAACTAAAGTTAACTTTCTGATGTGTCAACAACAGTTTGGGAGCTGGAACTCCCGCGAAGACCAACTTGTATTGTTGATCAGATTGCAAAAGCAAAAGTGAGTTATCTAGTTTAACTTGCGGGCGCCCTCGCTTGCCACCTTGGCAGTCCAGGGATAGCCGCCCTCAGAGCCTGCTCTAGTAGCACTCAAGTGCAAGTCTAGCAGCAGCCGTGTCATTGAATGTCCGCACGTGTCTTCTTATGATACGGCTGAACGCTGTTCATGCCAACATCATGATATTGATCATGATGTGCTTCACTATACACCGTCGGAGCACGCTCCAAGTGTGTTGGCTGCGGGTTGTAGGAGCTATTAGAAGATGTGGTGTTACACGACGCTTCTCCGTGAGGTGGATAAATCAAAAGTGCGTTGGTTTATAGATTCTGTTTTCCCCCTTCCTGGTTCATGTATACGCATACAACGTCGTCCTTCAAGGTCCACTGGTCAATACCCGCAGGCCACGCCGCCGCTGTCACCGCGTCCGGATCCAATGGGGTGTGCTCGCGTGCAGCTTGTACCAGTAACACGCCGCCGTGTTCTACATGTGGCTCTGCATTCCACCATCACAGAGGCTTCAGGGTCTACAAGCTCAGAGAAGAAAGGCCCAAGTGGGTAGCGTGACGTATGGAGTCTGGCGTTCTATCGCCATACAACAAAATCAAAAGCGGCGAGTTTCCGAGAATCAACACCGGCGACTGAGGGCGGCGATCAATAGTCGACATGCACTTTTTTGCCAGTTAAGTTTGCTACTTCTTGCGAGTCGTGCTGATAAACAGCTTGAGTAGTGGAAGCCGGTAAATCCACCGTAACCTTGAGCGTCCCGATGTGAGAACTAGCTCTGCCGTTCGCTTTGGCTTTCTTGCTAGGCGACAAAAAGCGCAATTAACGAAGCGATTTTGGTTTGGAGCGGTTTGTGTAGTAACTAGGCCGATTATTCAGGAAAACACTGACAAGGGTTAACCGTTAACACACATTAACGTTCTAGACGCAGCATGACAAGTTGCATCAAGGAAATGAGCCAGCGGTGGGCAGTTTAAAGTCAGTACCTTCCTGGATGCTTCACTAGCTACTATATCGTCCAGTGCCCGTTCCATATAGAAGGCGTGGTGAAAGCAAGGGCGGTATACTTGATGAATCAAAGATGTAGACGCCCACCAACATAGGTATCCCTATCATAGTCGAATACAATCTACATCTCTGCGGTGGCTATCGCTATTCACTTCGTCAGCTGAGTAGTATGCTTCCAGCTCTCAGCGGCATGTTGGGAAAAGAATTTTTCCAAGCAAATTTGGACGTTTGTCAAGCAATTGGCAAATCTGCAGACGTTTTTCAAGCAACTTGTTTGAGTTCGGTTATATACTAAATTATCAAACCGAATTACGGTATTTAAAACTAGTACCATTGTAATCGTGAATATTTTCTTAAATAATGTACTTAAATAATTTAATTTTATCAGTACTTCATGCTGATGGAATAATTGTGTTGTTAGCTAGTGCAGCCTTTTCAATGCAGTGTGCAAGTTCCTCCACTTCTAAATATTCAGTCGCACCGTGTTCGAATTCACATCACCACACGTAAACTTTACCGTCGAGTGCGTACGACTTCACTTGACCAGGCACGTTTTCCTCCAAACCTTTGCTTTGCTTTTGGTCCGGTGGAACCCACCAATATGGCGTTCACGTCGTCGTCGATACGTTTGTCTATGCCTTGCCGAGGTGAATTGCTGACAATATCACCGTGGCGGCCCGACATAGTCATTGAACATTCGGATCTTCCATTCAAAACTATAATTCGAATCACACTCTCGCAATCTTCATGAGAAGAGCACCTGTACTGATAGGTCTTACGAAGTGTGCTGGTACTGTTCGTCAAAAATCGGTATTTTACGTTCTGAGCACGATTTGCATGCAGCCTTGCCGCTTTCTTTGAGTCGAACGTTCCCAGATCTACAATTTCCTCCTCGTCGTCGCAGTCGTCGCAGTCGTCGCCACTGTCGAATAGATGCCATAAACCCAATTCATCGGTGGTGTCGTAGCTTCCGTATCCGTCGTCACTGCTGTAGCTGTCGTAGCTATCGTCTCTACTTGACGAGGAACTCATCGCCACGATGTTCGTTGAGGTCGCTAGAGTCTTATTTGAAGCTTGAAAAACGACCAATGTCCAACAACAGAAGTTTTTTTTTAGGCTTTGGTCTGACTGCTGTTCTATAATTGCCTTAACTTGCTTGAGAAACGTCCGAAAAATATAACTGCTTGATTTCCATCTGAGAATTGCTTGATAAAAATCCGCACCCCGGCATGTTGACGTCGCATTCGAGCAGAACAACAGCGACCATGATGAATAAACAAGCAGCTTGATCAGCTGAGTCTCGCTGATTCGAACAGTTCCTGCGCTGTTGGACTCGGCATTGATGTCTAGCATTCCACGATTATGCAAAAGGAAAGGAACGAGAAACTGCGCGGTTACAGCGTCGTAGGTACCTACTAGGTACACAAGGTAAGCGAGAGTATTGAAACCTGCACTTCCTCGTGCATCACACGTCAAACAACCCCGTTGTAGTGACCTCATTGACGTCACACGGTCGCTGCATTTGAAGCAAACAGGACGATTCGATGCATCATTTCGGTGTCCTGTCCATCACTACGTCCCGAATTCGCCCCACTTCCGCCGTTTAACATCGTGTGTGCCACATCAGCTTATTGTCAGAACTTCTTTCACTATATTCCCCGTTAGAACCGTCTTCCGTCTATCCCTGGTTTCTACTAACTTTCACAGGCTGACGCGCAATCAACTCCATGACGCATCCATCATTGCACGCACTCAGTCGCCAATCCACTGTCTACCTCCCAAGCCCTCCATGATGCTCTCCAAGGCTCTCCGTCGCCCCTCGCTACATCGGCCTGTTGCCTCCGTCATGAAGTATCACATTGGAGTGCGTGAGACGCAGCTGGGGGCCGACGCGCTATCCAAGCAGAAGCAACAGCTGCGCACCCAAGGCGCCAGCTCTGTAAACCTTGACACACCCGTGTTCCAGGTCTTCGGCAGCAATACCGACATTGGCAAGACGATCGTGTCCGCGGGTATCTGTCGCAGCGCCGCTACCATCGCAGCTAGCAATGGTGGACGCATTGAGTACATTAAACCCCTTCAAACCGGTACCGACGACGACATCCCCGGTTCCTTCCCCGGTGATGCTTCCTTCATCGAGAAACACGCGCTGCTTAAGGACCAGAAACAAGGGGACCTTCAATGTTCCACTTTGTTCTCATGGAAGAACCCCGTGTCGCCTCATCTCGCGGCGCAGATGGAGGGATACACCATCACCGACGAGAAGCTACTGGAGCTGCTATCTGACAAGCTGAAGGCTATTAACCAGGTCAATGGAGCAAAAGCTGCAGACAGCCTAGTACTTGTAGAGACTGCAGGAGGAGTATGCAGTCCCTCGGCCTCAATGAGGTTCCAGGTGGATGTGTATCGCGGCATGCGGCTCCCTGTGGTGCTTGTTGGCGACGGCAAGCTCGGTGGAATCTCTACGACTATGTCAGCACTCGAAACACTACTGATTCGTGGATACGACGTGGCTGCGATCTGCTTGATTGAACAAGACGGTCTGGACAACAAAGCGGCACTTGAGCCGCGCACAAGCGAGCTCGGAATCCCGATCTTCACTATGAACGCTGTTCCGCCCATGCCTGAGCCATTGAACAAGTGGTTCGAGGATCATGACAAGGTGTTTGCTGATGTTAATAAAGCACTCAAGTCGTTCCACAAGACTCGACTGGAAAGCTTCAAACGCATGGAAGAGCGCGCTGAGCAAGTGTTCTGGTGGCCATTCACACAACATAAGAAGGCTGGCGGTCTCTCTATGATCGACTCGGCCCACGGGGACGAGTTCAGTGTATACCGTCCGGATAGCAACACGGTGGAGCCTCTATTTGATGCCTGTGCGAGTTGGTGGACACAAGGTGTCGGACACGGCAACTCGAAGATGGCGACGGCTTTGGCGTACGCTGCAGGTCGCTACGGCCACGTCATGTTCCCGGAGAACGCACACGAACCAGCTCTACAGTTGAGTGAGAAGCTGCTCGCATCGGTTGGTAAAGGTTGGGCATCTCGTGTTTACTACTCGGACGACGGCTCCACAGCCGTCGAGGTGGCTCTGAAGATGGCGTTCCGGAAGTATGTGCTCGACCATAAGCTGGAGTACGGTGAGTTTATGTCGGATGAAGCCACAGGTTCCAAGATGGTTACTTTGGCTCAAGCCAATTGCTACCACGGCGATACATTGGGAGTCATGAACGTAGCTGAGAAGAGCGTGTTCAACGAGAAGCAGCACCCCTGGTACCGTCCAGAAGGAGTCTTTCTCAAGGTCCCGACAATGGCTCTGCGTGACGGCGAGTACGTGGTTTCTATCGACCCTGAGATTGCTGGTAGCGCCAAGACTGAGGAGAAGCTACCGTCGTTGAACGCTGCGTTCGATTCTAAGCGTGACCAGAGCTCGCTGGCTGATGTCTACCGCAAACACGTGTCTAAGATGATCGATGAGACGGAGGAGAAGAATGTTCGTGTGGGTTCAGCACTGATTGAGCCTGTGCTGATGGGCTCCGGTGGAATGTTCCTGGTGGACCCGCTGTATCAACGCATGTTGGTACAGGAGTGTCGTGCTCGTAAGATTCCCGTTATTTACGACGAAGTTTTCTCGGGTTGGTGGCGTCTAGGAGTGGAATCTGCACGTGATCTGCTTGACGTTGACCCGGATATCGCCTGCTATGCTAAGCTTTTGACTGGTGGCGTGGTGCCGATGGCTGCTACGCTTGCTTCGGAGGAGGTTTTCAACACTTTCTACGCCGATTCCAAGGGCGAAGCTTTGCTTCATGGGCACTCGTTCACGGCGTATCCGATGGGCTGTGCTGCTGCCGTGACGGCGCTGGATATGTACGAGATCTTCAACAATGCCAGTGGGCCTATCAAAGACGCCACTCGCACGTATTGGGACGTCAACGCTCTTAAGGAACTCTCCAGTCGTTCGTACATTGAACGTACGTTCGCTATCGGTACAGTGGCGTGTGTGGAGCTAGCGTCTGAGAACGCCGGATACGCATCCACTGAAGCTGCTGAGTTTATCCACGTCCTGCGTAAGAACGGCGTGTACGCTCGCTCGCTGGGTAACGTGCTGTACATGATGTGCTCACCACTAACGACCCAGGAGGACTGTAGCAAGTACCTAGGAACTCTGATTAACCAGATTGAGATCCTACAGGCCAAAAAGTAAGCAATGCAAGACTAAGAAGAGTATACAGAATGTTGTATTGGCCTGACTCTCGTAAGATGATTTAGGAGATGACGCATCCTGGATCGGAGGTGTGCGTTCCACCTGCGTCCAGTCGCTTCTTGTCGATGAGGATGTTGAGCTCCACCATGGCGTCGTCAAACTTGCTGATGAATTTCTGACGATCGGGCAGCGCTCTCATCTCTCGGTCGTGGATCAGGCGGTTGCGTAGCGTTGCTACATAGCGGATGGATCGGACAGTGGGCACCGGGATAGCGCTCTCTACGGACGAAACCTTCTCGTGCAGCCCCTGGCCGTGTGCATTGAACTCTTTCTCCAGCAGATATTCGAGCTCCTTGGAGGCCTCGATGGCCAGTTGGTAGTCGTTGTTCGAGTGCACGTACCCCTTGCTCGGACCATTCCCCATTGCAACTAGCACTTGTACGATCTCAGATTGTTTCTGAGTAGTGTGCTCCACATAAATCAACTTCAACCTAAATAGCAACAAGAAAACTATGCGGCAGTGTTGGTATTTTTGTTTTCACATTTTTTTTTTGATTTTTACGTATAAAGGATTTGATACGACATTAAAAACATTTTTGTAAATCATTCTCACATTGTTGACGTAAAAAAGATTGTGTTGAAGCTAGATCTCGCTGCTTCATTATCACATTTGCTATCTATCATCGCTGCTGCACCTGTGGACGAAGCTACAACGCTCTAATGGATCTACTGCCTGGGCTGCAGGATTCATCATGCCTGGCCAAGCGTGGACGCCCTCCTAGTGCCCTCAGTAGAAACTTTTACCGTTTAAATGAGCGGTGTAACAAGACCATGTGGTGGACTGTGTATAAATACTGCTATGCGGCTCATGTCAAAGACCGAGCAACGACACCGTTTCCGACACATGTCTATGGACGTAAAGAAGCCTGGCAAAAACACTTGTCGGACTTCTCTTACTACACTCTGGGAACGCATTTCTGAGCGAGGACAATACAAACTTGAGTCAGCACGGTGGTCCCAATAAACAATAATGCACGTCGCCACCGGAATTTAGTGACGGTGAAAAATGGTTTTCTGGCATTTGCTGCTGGAATATCAAGCAAAAGCCTTTTTCCTGACTCGTTTGTGGAGCTGATGTCATTGAGACGGTTGTTAGTCTTTTTGAATGTTCGTTGTGGAGGGATTGGAGCTATTTCGCATTGCCATGTACTAAGCGATCAAGTATTAAATGAATACGTCGAGCTGCACTCGATGGAGCAACGTGGCAGTGTGCGAGCGATTCAGAATCGAAGTGGCGGAAGAGTAAACTTCTTGTCGGATGTGTGGGAAACGATTGCGAAACTGCATACGCTGGGGTGTGTAATTGCATTGTTTGGACGGATTTTATTTTACGATTTAAAGGATAGTGGTGATCGACATGACGGCCTTGCGCTTGCTGAGCAGATGGAAGGGGTTATCGACGAGCTATTGCCATCGGAGTGGAAAGTAGGTGCAACTGTGACTGACAGCACCGGACAATGTAGCCGGGTACGTCGTATATTGGCACCTTGCTTCGCCAATATCGCCTTCACACGTTGTTTCGCACACGACGTTAACCATCTGGTGAAAGCCATTCTAAACTCAGCGTTTAAAAATATTTCCAAGGAAGCCGCAGGAGTTGAAAAATTTCTGAACGCTTCTACTTCTAAATAGATGGTTCGGGCTACTAAAGCAATGACTAAGTGCTATGGCGATAGTTTTGCCGTTTTCACGCTATGTGAAACTAGGTGGAACTCGATGTAGGCCTGTTTTGCGTCATTACTTCGTGTACGCCTTAGAAGATATGGCCTTCACATATTGGGGTAGCCCGGATCTCACGGACAATATTCGAATTTGAGTTCTGGACGAAGTTGGAGACTGCGGAGAAAATTGTTCAGCCATGATGTACTGCTTCATTCCGTCTCCAAAGGGATGAAACTACAGTGTCAGATGTAATTGTTTCATTCATGGATATTTATCGCGGGTTTGTGTATACGGAGATGGGTGACTCTCTCACAGACTTACCGGAAGCTCGTTGGAATGCCTGCGAGCAACCTCTCTTCATTCTGGGGTTCTTTCTTCGTCCTGAATATGTCGTAAAAGCAAGAAATCTTCCACCAACTGTGATTACCGAGCTGGACGATGTTTGTCAATTTGCACAATATTACTATCGTCGCTTTGTAAATGAAGATGACAGCGGGTTACGTGGTGAAATGTTCGATTGGATTCAGGGAAGTTATACAACTTCACGCTCTGCCGCCTTCAGCAGCGATGCAGTGTCGACGTTTTTGGAGTACGCGAAGAATACGAAAACGAACCGCAAACTTCCTGTGCTTGCTCTCACAATATTGTCCATCGCCGTTAATAGGGCAACATGTGAGCGTTTGTTCGGTGAGCTTGCGCTAATCCGGACTTCAAAGTAAAAAGGCATGTAAAATGACAACACTGCCCCCGGGTCCCCAATACACTAATTGTAATGTCTAACTATTTGCTGTCGATACCACGCCGGTAGTTACTATTGTTTATGTGATTATCTGCTGCCAACCGTGAAATCGACGCAATAATATTGGCTTTTATTTGTCGACAGCATATTATGGCAATTTTGTACTATAAATATCTGGGCGCCCGCTATCCTCATCAACCCGCAGAGAGTCAAAATACCGAAGACCCTCACTATTGTTTTATCGAAAATTGTACAAATGCAGTAATATGCATTCCGAAGCCAAATATCACTATACCAGTTATCAAGATACTTTCACTGCTTTACTGTGTTTTTCCATTCTTTGTACCTGAAACTATACTATTGATTTACTACTATCCTAGTAGTTCGACATCACTAATATACTATAAGATACATACTATCGTCTACCCGGAGTTGGAGAGCACGAAAAAGTTGCCAACTCAATTCTCGCGAATTCCCATCAGTCGAACGCCGAGATTCTCACTTCTGCTTTCTCAATGTGCCGCGGTAGTCGCTCTTCTTCACCTTGGGACACCTCTCGCTACTGTGGTGTCGAATTTACAGAGGTCTCACACCCTTTTACATCTATGACATAAGAATTCATCGTCTGAACCGACGTTGTATCGGCTTCGCAACATGACCCCCCCCCCCCCCCTCGCCGTAATGTAAGTACAAGCCTGATTGCGCGGAACTCGTCCAACCAACGTCCAGACCCGCGCTCAGCGTCAAGAGAAACCATTGCAAAACCAAAGCTGGACCACGACCCGCCACGTCACTTGGCCCCCCGTGCTGTAAAAGCGACCGCATGGCCAAGTGCCTACACGTCGATTGCGCCGATCTAACACTGCCCCTTGAGCGACTGAGCGTCATATCGAGTCCACCATCATTAACGACTCGATAGCAGGTCGTGGGTCAGCCAGGTTGATTAATTGGTCAAGTAGCGGCCGCACCTCAATCGTACTCATACTCCGACTTGCACAAATACACAATTCCTTGCTATTTTGCCTTCGTTTTTTTGATCCATTCATCAAGTGAGCTTCGTCAGCATCACATTGGCAGGCCGAGTCTAGTTTTATATTATAATATATCCACGAAGGGCATTTCAATATCCAGTGGATATTATCCACTAACCACCCCTCTCCCCTCCTGGTGTTAATAGCCTTTCAGAAAACATGCACGTGACTCTACATATTAACGGACTAAACTTGGATTTTCTATGGGTAGGAATGGTGTGTGCCACATAGGTCAAACTTTCTAACTAATCCTTGTGGGACTGAACGTACTTCTTAACCAAACCACTACCAGGAAAACCGATTATATTGGGTGCAACTATCCTGTGGTAATCTTAAAAGAGAGTAGTATCAAAGTCAACAGGAATTATTTGCAAAGTTTGAGAGTTAGTTGAGTAATTTTGGCTTTCTGGGGATATATTTCCACAGTAGTTTTGGGTTGGAATGACTCGCCTACTAAAACTCTGCTTATAAACCCCAGAAAATACACATAAAAATGTCTGAGCTTCATCGTGAAGACACAACTTCAGGCCTCCATTAGTTTCGACTCCAGGTCGAAACAATCTGTGATGTTGAAATGAAACATATCGAATCATGTCGTCTTCTTCTCCGACAATCATACTCTAATATGATAACACGATAACTTGAGGTGCAATGGTGGTCCGTTATATAATACAAACTACAAGGTTGTGATATAAGCTACATTCTCATGTTATCATGCAGGGTGAGGTACGCAATTACTGAATATTGAAAGCCCAGACTAGTGAAACTCAGAAGAAAATTTAATCCAGACTAATTGCACGGTCACATTTTTACAGTGATAGTATTAATATTCGATAGGTAATGCTTCTACAGAATATGAATACGATCTTCCACTTCTCCTTCCAAACAGACTCGAATCCGTCCAGTATACTCTGCATCATGTCCAAAGTCCTTATCCCAGTTGCGGTCACACAGAACAAGTCGCATCTCAGACTGGCGTCCTTCGAACACGCAGATATCACATCTACCCGTCCGATTCAAATTCAAAAATGACCAAAGTTACATCCGTCATCACGAGCTTTCAGAATGCATTGCGGTCACTGTGTAATGGGTGGAGCTAGGTACGGAATTGTCGTGCCCAGTAAAATATCGTACAAACCCTTAGCAGACACTCCATTCGAATCGATCACCATTGATTTCAGCGTGGCTTCGGCCTGAAATTCGCTTAACAACCACGAGAAATGTCCTCGAAAGGGATGCTTCGCACTCCATGCCTTTGTGATGCACAAAATATCATACGAACGACCATATTACCGACTTTTTCATAATTTCCGTTCAACGCTCATGTTTCCCCTCGAATAGGGACTCCCTGCCCTTTTGTCCTTATCCAAAACATGTTCCAGACGGAGTATGTCTTTCCTGATGTAGTATTGTAATACCTTGAATAAGCTTGGCTGTTAATTAATATCTGTTGCTCAAATGCTGAACGTGTGTTACATACCAATGAATGGTGAATTTCTGTTGCGAACATGAATACCTGTTGCGAACTTAAGACGACAGAAATTCATTGCTTATAATATGTCCATAGGAATCCAGAGCTTCGACTCTGAGAAGCTGTTGTGTTCTATGTAGAAAATCCGAATTCATTATACGCTTGTTTTAGACAGAGGCACTCATATCGCGCGCTCTACGTATGGCGTGTACGAGTTCCTCCACCTTATACTCCGTTCTACCTCCATCCACAAAGGATGCCGTCCAGATGAAGACCCCATCGTGAGGAGAAAGACGGCAAGCCACAACTTGCCCAATTCGGCAGTCTGGAACTGCTACTCCATCGTCTAGCACCTCAAATTTATCTACCACTGGCCACTTTATTGCTCTACCAGGATCCTTAGTGAACACCTCAACTAGGCGATCGACATCGCATGCGCCGTTTGATTCAATCCGCCTCGTGTTGACTT